TGACCCGCCCTAGCCCACCCGCCCCTTTCCACCCTACTTCTACCTCATTGTCTCTCTAGTTTGATAAATTTCTTCCAATAGCTTTTGTTGAATTATCCACTTGTGACTAGATTATTCTTTGAGATATTTTAAATCCTTTTGAAACCTATGCAAGTTTCAGATTTTCTTTTTATGTGTGATGTAGAGTACTATTTATAAACTCATAGTTAGTAATCAATCCGGGATAAAATATTCTCTCACACAATGAAAATCAAGAGAGGTCGAGAGAAGAAAACTATAGGACAGGAATTAATAAAAATCATACGAAGACAAGATTGATCTGCTAAATTGAGAGCTAAGATTGAGATATTTACCAATTCTAAAAAAATCAATTAAGAAATTGGTACTAAAACAAAGGAGGGAGTCCCTTTTTTTTTCTTTATTTTGTCCCTGGGAAATATATGCACGTGTGAAGAGTAAATCTTTGGTGTTTTATCCTCAGATGCAACTCCTAGGAATAACTTTGCCACCATGGCTTCCCCTTGCATTTTTACAATAAGTAAAGGCTGGCCTTCTCATGCGATCATTGTAAGTGAGCTTTATATCTTGCAATCTGATTCCAGTGCATGGATTTGAAGGACTGCAGTCAAATTTCATGGCTGCTTGTGTAGATGATGTCCCTTTCACATTCTTGAATGTTACTTGACTCACCTTCACTCCTGAACTCTGCATGTTTTAATCAAGCAAGATGAATATGATACTCCGTCCTTTATGGTTCAAAAAATGAGAACTTCTCATGTAAATCGAAGAAACAGAACTCAACTTTACTAAAGTGTGTGGATTTTCGATACAGCAAGTGGAGGTTATGATAGCATGGATTATCTGATGGATAATTACCTTTAATTAATTGATGAAGGAATTGTTCAGCAATACCGGTTGATGATCTTCACATTTAACTTAGATTCTTTCGTCGTATAATTGTCTTTTAAGCCTGTTTGTCAAGCTTCTTTCGAAGCAAATGCATTTTTTTTGTGGTCAAAAATATTTTTTTTTCCCCCTAAAATTAAGGTGTTTGACCAAGTTTTTGAAAGGAAAAATGGTGTTTTTGAGAAGAAGCTAAAGCAGTTTTGAAGAATCAGAAAAAAATAGCTTCTCTCTAAAACCATTTTTTTGAAAAACACTTTTGCTGCTCAGAAATTTTTTTCAAATTAGTTAACCAAACACAAACTGCTTTTCACCAAAAGTACTTTTTGAAAAGAAAAAAAATTCTCAAAATAAGCTGATTTTTGCAGCTTGGCCAAACAAGTTAACGAACAGAAAAAAAAAAAGCGAGTTTTTTTTAGCAATTTGTTATTTGAAACATTTATGTGAATAAGATATTCGCTTCATCTATCATATGTTTAGTGAGTTTAGGTTGATGTCCTACCTCATCTTTATTTCTCAAGATTTGTTTAATAAATGTTTTAATGTTAAAAAAGAATTTTCTTTAAAAAAAGTACAAATTAAAATCACAAGGCCTGAGTTATACTTTAAGCTTTTTTGACCGTCTTAATCATATTTATCTCCCTAATAATATTCCTTTATGATGGCTTATTAACTCCTCTTTCTTCGCAAAGGTCAAAATCCAATTACCTTTAAAAATCTTAACTACTACTATTACTGAAAAGAAGTTGAAAACCGAGTAAATACTACATATTTACCTGACGAGGGCACATATTATGCGGGCAATAGTTTTGGTCAATGATGATGGGATTCCCAACGTTCCTCATAATAAGGTTTTTGAACATGAGATTTTTTGCAAAGCCATTACTTGGTCTTGCCCAAGACTTTATCCTAACGCCATTTTGCGTCTTTGTGAAAACCGAATTTGCTACTGTGACATTCGTAACCCCAGGCTCATTGTTGCTGTTTCCCAAACTTCCAATGCTGCATCGAAGGATCACAGTTCAAGAAAATTATGATCACTTTAACCTTTTAATTAATTTTACCATGTTTTGTAATTGAAGTGGAGCCTTGGCGTAACTGGTAAAGTTGTTGTCATGTGACCAGGAGGTCACGGGTTCAAGCCGTGGAAACAGCCTCTTGCATAAATGCAGGGTAAGACTGCGTACAATAGACCCTTGTGGTCCAGCCCTTCCCCGGACCCTGCGCATAGCGAGAGCTTAGTGCACCGGGCTGGTCCAGCCCTTCCCCGGACCCTGCGCATAGCGAGAGCTTAGTGCACCGGGCTGCTTTTTTACCTGCTTTTTTACCTTGTCTTGTAAGTAGTTGGTGCAAAAAAGTTATTTGTGATTAACTTTAATTTGAAGTGAGCTGATATTGTAAAATTTCTTTTCATTATCAGCCTGTTAGTTAAACTTTAAAGTTTTTAGAGCGGATTGATCCCAATTGCAAGATGCATCGGGATCATGAAGACAACTAAGTTGGACCTAGTTAACTCAATGACTAGAGATTGAATAAATGCAGAATTAAGTACCTAATGCCATGTCCAGGGCCACATCCAATTTTTTCAATCCATAAGTTCATGGAGCCAGAGCCTATAGATATGCAGTCATCTCCGGTCTTAATAATGCTTCCATAAATGGTAACCCCCCTTGAGTTTTGTACATGAATGCCATCGGTGTTTGGGCTTCCACTTGGGGCTATTATCTTCACATACTCGACTCTCACATTGCTGCTGTAACCTATTCCCACATGTACTCTTTGACTGTGGAGTGATGCTAAGCCCCTCAGCAGTACATTGTTACACCACATGAATTGTATTGACTGCGATATAAAGATTTAAACACATCAGATTTAGTGATCCCTTAAACAAGTATTATCGATTGTAGAGTGATAATAGATCCTTTTTCACCTGACATTATGTTGAGTATACAATTTTGAAGATGATAGATAAAATATCTATGTCAAGTTGTATGGAAATTAATTTAGTAGTGCTTGAGAGTTGTATCAAAGTGTAAATTTTAATTTTCCAGATATTACGTGGTGAGATATTTTATTTGCTAACTTTGGTACAGTTTCGTGAGGTGTCATGTGGATTAGTTCTACTTTAATTCTAAAATTTTACGAAAGGAGTTTGAGTTGGAATAGGTTTCCAGGGAATCCTATTGTGATAAGAAAAAGAATTGGCTGTCTATTTTACATGGCTTCTATCTTTGCCAATTAGATGTTCTATGTTCTATAAATAAAGTCTAGGTATTGAAGGGAAGTTCACGCATTCACAAACACTTCAAGCATCAACATAATGTTTTTGAGTTTCTAAGTAAGTCTAAATTAAAGTGTGAAGCAAAGGCTGGACCAGCTTCAAGAGTCAGTTTTAATGTTAAAATTATATTGTGTTCTCTTGAGTCGACCATGAATATATTAGGTTTGAATTCTAATCTTGTGAAACTTTCATAGAAAAATTGTTGAGGTTAAACTTTTGCCGGTTTTTTCGTTTCAAACTAGGGGTAGCTCGAAAGGATAACAACAGTCTAGATTCTTGTAATAAGGGCTTACCGTACGTCCTTAATTAAGAGTCCCATTGTAATCCATTTGGCTAGTAATTGGTTTCTTGAACTTAGTTGAAATATCACAAGGATGTGGGTCATGGTTTTTATAACCTTTTGAGTCTTGGCGATTTTTCACGTAAAAGTCGAATGTGCATTGTCTCTTTTAGTTATTGTCAAGATAAAAGAAGACAACATTTCATTATAGTGATTATTCATTTATTCATTTTTTTTTTCAAATTTTGACAATGCTTACAAAAAATCAGGTTCTTAGAAACTTCTTCAACACTTCATGAAAAGTAGTTAAAATTCCGGAAAGGCCGAAAATCTCTAACGACCCGGTTCACCCTTCTTGTGTGTCATGTGAGTTTAAAAACTATTACATTATGTTTTCATCTTTTTATCAGATACATATTACCACGTAAAAGTTGAATACTTATTGTGATGTGATAAAAGAGATCCAAAATCAATTCATGATAAAACTTAATCCCTCTGTTCCAGTTTATGTGAAACTATTTCCTTTTTGGTCCGTTCAAAAAAGAATGACTCTTTTCTAAATTTAATAACAATTTAGCTTAAACTTACAATTCTACCCTTAATGAGAAATTTTTATAACCACACAAATACTTTGGGCCCCTTTTTGACTTGTTTATGACCACAAATTCGAAAAGACTTCATTTTTCCTTAAATTCCGTGCTCATTCAAACATGTTCACATAAATTATAATGGAGGAAGAATTACTTTTTGACCTTTAAAGAAATAAAGGTGAGCCATCACATCCTTAGTACTTCATGGAGGAAGTAATGATGAAAGTTCAAATATATAAACATAACTAAGAAGTAGCATATGTAAGTTGGAATGGAGAGAGCAATAGACTATGTAAGCATGGTTTACATACGTACCCTAGCTCCTTGAGGGCAAGAACCTCCACTTTTTCGACAAGACCAATAACCATGTCCTTTGGCGTTAATAGCTCCTGATCCATAGACTGAAAGCCCACTTACCTTATAAAACATAATCCAGAACTCAGAATTCCCAATTGCGTTATAATTGACCGGAGCACTGAGAGTACCATCAATTCGAAACATAATTCTTCTCCGACAAGGACCATTGAAAGTCAACGTCCTCACTAAATATGTTCCTCGTGGAACGTCAACGTTCGCTGGACTAGCAGAGTTGCAGGCAGCAGACCAAGCGCGAAGAAACGCTCTGGTTGAGTCTGTCCTGCCATCTCCTCTAGCCCCAAAATTAACTACATTGTAGGATAAACAAGAAGGTATTAATAAACAAAAGAAAGGTAACCAAGAAACATTAGTACATTTCACGGTTTTGAAATTGGCCATGTTGAGTGGTTTTGTTTAAATGAGAGGTTGTTATGATGAAAATAAAGATTCTGCATGGGTCTATTAATAGTTATTCAAATGGTGTCCGTATGACAATATATTTGTCAACATGACAATAGATAATTTAGGTTCTGCGTAATTCGATTGCAGATTTTCAAAGTGACTTAAATGCTAAACCAACGTCACGTACTACGAACCTGTACGATGAATGAATTCTTAGGAATTACATGTGCAGATAATTATTCGCATAAGAAAATGAATGTTAAAAAGACAAAAAGAAAAGGGCAAAAAGAGAAGAAGGATCATGGGATTTAATAACAATTTATAAGATCCATGAAGAACGCAAGAAATGCAGCAGTTGAGTACAACATCAACATGTGAGTTGCCAGCTTTACTGATTTAATTCTATAAGGCATTGTTAGCTAGCTAGCTAGATCAGCTAATAACAAGAATATAGAAAGTTATAAATGAATACATAGATGGTTTAGAAGCTTTAAGTTAAAGGATGGGAATATTGTTTTGATCCCAAAGCTAGTTTGACTTTAGAAACTTGTCGTTAAATAATACTCCCTCCGTTTTATATTAAATGAGGTACTTTCCTTTTTAGTCTGTTTCAAAACAAATGACACATTTCTAAATTTAGAAATAATTCAACTTTAAACTCTTTCGTTTTACACATTTACCCTTAATGAGAAACTTTTATAGTTACACAAATATCATGGCCCCACAAACCTTTTACCCCTTAAATTTTTAAGACCACAAATTTCAAAAATCTTCTTCTTTTTTCTTAAACCGTACCGAGTCAATACTTCATATGATAAAACGGAGGGAGTAGCATATTATGTAATTCCGCAATGATTTAAGGAAAGATGCAAAGTGTAATCTAAACGTCATGGCCCACATCATCTACATGTTATGATATGCACGGTAACCATTTGATAAGTTGGTTTGACCTTATCTATATCAAGGTTTGCTTCTTGCATCTTATTATGTTGTAATACCAACAAGATTGTCAAGATCCAAATCTGAAATTTTCGTCGCTACAAGGCACTCAACCAAATTACTACCCATTAGACGAAGTCTCTAGCTATATACGTAGAATAAATGAAGAAATGAATGTATACCTACTTTCCCACACCTTGCTATATAAGTATCTTAACCAAGACCTCCTATTTCAATGTCAAGTAAAATTTGCTAATCTTGCAATTTTTGCACTTACCAAGTGAGAGACAGAGCTTGAGATTAGATTTGCAGTTTTTTCATTAGAAAAGAGCCTTCTAGCTCCTGTCCCCGCAGCCCTGATGGGCAATGCTCTTGGTGAGTCACTTCGTCTTTCACGATCGACTCGGAGGACATAAGACTTCTTGGTCAAGCCAAAAAGATTGCCGACTGGATGATCCTACCCCACCATACCTGGCCCTTTATCTTACCTTAAGAAGAAAGAGGAGGTATGAAGCGTGGGACAGAATGCAAGAAAGAAAAAATGTGACGACCCAAAATCCAACTAGTCGTGATGGCATCTAACCCAACCTACTAGGTAAGCCAATTATCCTATATCCAATTTGAATAGAATTTAATGAAACAGTAAAGGAAAGAAAATATCTTAGTCTTATACATTTTCCAATGACTGGTAGTACAAATCATGAGTTTCTAAGAATAAAATTTACAAAATTGGTATGAAATTAGTACTTTATCTGTCTGAAAAGTACATAAACAAATTTTTATGAATCTAAGGCTACCATGAAGAAGCGGCAGCTACAACCGGAACACAGGTACGTCTTCAAGTCCAGCTCCCGTCGAACATAGCAACGTCATCAATTAACATCTGCACGTAAGGTGCAGAAATGTAGTGTGAGTACAACCGACCCCATGTACTCAGTAAGTAACAAACCTAACCATAGGTTGAAAGTAGTGACGAGCTGGAATACATGTCGAGTCCAACAGCAATAGCCAACAACAGTTCATAACAATGTAAAGCATATAAATAAAGAAGTAACTCAGAGATAAAATGTTCAACTGTGTTGGCCCAAGAATAGGTGAAGTTTTGAAGACTGACAAAAGAACTCAGTTATGGACCAGGTCCACCTTGTGAAGCACAGTCATGATCAACTTGTACATATGAGATGCACGTGAAGGAGATAAATCTAACTGATCAAGAAGCAATATCTCCTGATCTGATAAAAAAGGTTGTATATTGGATAAGGAGAGGAAGACTCCTTATATGAAGAGAACACGATTTATGAAGAAGATAGTGTTAGAGTTTGAGATCAACTTGACCTCTTATACGATAGAAGAGTAACATTTGAATCCCAGTCAATCTCTAATTACTAACCCATTAAATATCAGTGTTGTTCTCTTTTACAGGTAATGCACATAAGCAGAAGTTAAACTTAAATTGAGAGCAAAAGAGCAAGGCGATTTTGCAAGCAATTTATGTGTGATTCGAGTGTGCAATCCTGAAGCTACTTGAACGAGATAGAAGAACCAGTTCCAAGTGTCTATCTTTTATTCTAGTTCAATTGTAGTAGGTGATTTCACATTATACCTTTTAGCTTTCATAGATGCAATTGTATTAGGTACCTAGAGCGTTCAAGTTAGAGTTAACTTGAAGTTTTCGCAACAGTTGAGGCTGTGTGTCACAACGGGATTAGAGTTAATCCTTAGGTTTACAAAGAGTTTTGTAAATGCTATTTTGGCTCAGTGATTTTAGTGGAAGTTTTGGAAAATCCTACTGAGCAGTAGGTCGTGGTTTTTTCACCTTTTGAGCCAGGTGTTTTTCACGTAAAAAATCTCTCTGTTCTTTATTTTCTTTACTTATTATTCCGCAAACAGTAGTAGTTGGAACACATAGAAGAACCAAGTCCTTTTATAGTTCAATTAAGAGAAAATTGGGTACCACACAAATCACCCCCCTTGTATTGTATTGACGTTTAAAACATCAATTGGTATCAGAGCGGGTTATCCTTGAAGAGGTTAACACCTTAGGAAAAGATCAAGATGAGTGCACCACCTAGAAACTAGAAAGGGCAATCCACTGCTAGGCCTTCATTCTTTAATGGTCAGTACTATTCTTAGTGGAAGAACAGGATGAGAGATCACATCATAGGAGAAGACTATGAACTCTGGGACATAGTCACTAATGGTCCCCTGGCGACTACAAAGAAGAATCCTGAAGGAGTGGACGTGCCAAAGACAAGAGCTGACTGCACTGCTGAAGATTTGAAGAAATCGGAAAAAATGCCAAGGACAAGAAATGGCTTGTGTGTGGACTAGGTCCAGACGAGTACAGCAGGATTCAAAGCTGTACCACTGCTAAGTAGATATGAGACACTTTACAAGTGGCTCATGAAGGAACTCCTCAAGTAAAGAGATCAAGAGAAACACTGCTATATTCTCAGTATGAGAATTTCACTATAAAGGAAAGAGAAAGTATCCAGAAGATGTACACAAGGTTCACAACACTAACAAATGAACTTAAATCTTTTGGGAAAATTATCCTTGAAGAAGACAAGCTCGAAAAAATCTTAACAAGGGTCTTACCTGTAACTTGGGAAAGCAAAATCACAACCATTCAGGAATCAAAGAACATTGCTACTCTCAAGTTGGATGAACTAATTAGAAATCTCACTGCCTATGAACTGAGAAGGCAAACCATGAAAATGGATACACCCAAAAAGGAAATGAGTTTGGCTCTCAAAATAGTTGAAGGTGTAGATATGGAGGACGATGAAATGGCCATGATCACAAGGGATTTCAAGAAGTACCTAATGATAGGAAAGGGTCCTTTAAGAGGTACTACCTTCAACAAACCAAGGGTTCCTGAAAAGCAGACAAACGAGGGCTGCTACAAATGTGGCAAGACTGACTAGATGATCAAGAATTGTCCTAAGTGGGAAATAGAATGGAAGAAGAAAAGGGCTGAGCGAAGGAACAGGTTCAACTCAAAAGGAACAAAGGATCAACAAAAGCTATGGTTACTGCTTGGGGAGAAACATCAGATGGGGATTCAGAAGATGAAGCTGGAAATGAACAACCACTTATGGCCATCGGAGAATCAGATGATGAACAAGAGGTAAGTGTGATTCATCTCAAAGACAAGATTAAATTTCTATCTAAAGAAAAGTTATCTAAACTATTGCTAGACTTCATTGATGAGTCTGAGGTAATTAACAATGAGAAGGAACAACTGTCTAGGGAGTGTATGATCTTAAAAGCCAAGTGCAAAAATCTAGAATCAAGGGCAAATGAGAGTGACAGTAAAAATGTTGAGTTGAAGAACCAGAATCTTGAACTTGACACAAGTGTCTTAGAACTTGGGACTGGAAATTTAAAACTGAAACTAGGAACAGATAAGTAGAAAGCTGATCACACACATCTCACCTTAGAAGAAAACCTAGGAAAAATGAAGGATGAGTTGTACAAGAAAGATTAGCATATAAGAGTCTTAAAAGAAGACCTAGGGAAGGTAAATCATGAACTAGACAGAACTTGCAAATGGAATAAGACTTCTGATGCACTATCCTGGCTACAAGAACATCACAGTAGCAACAAGAGAGGACTTGGCTATGGGGCCCAAGCACCTAAGTGGGACCCCAGAAGCAAGTACCTGACTCTCTTCCTGAAAACAAAATATGCACACACTGTGGCAAGACTGATCATTACAAAAATGAATGTAATGTGACGAGGCCAATGCGTATAAGATTTTGCTACTCGTACTTTGTCAAATTCTAGTATAGTTTATGATATCGTCCCACAGAGATTGGAGAATCTAGCTACAAACTTATAATATTCTTACTACTATTTGAGAGAATCAGATTGATGAAGTTTCGTTTGTTGAAAATTTAAATTGCTTAAGTTGAAACAAAATAACTTTTGGAAGATTTATATTTAAAAAGAGTTGGGAATCATTGAATTCACTCGATAGCGTGATAATAATAAAATCTTAGCTTCTACATGTATTTCTCTTAGGAATAACTATTTATTGCTAATACAATTATATTTTACTC